ACAGTAAATTCTTCTGTTATGCCTGTAGGTTGTGGACGATGAGGAAGCTTCCTTCTCTTCTGTCTCGGACACTCAGTTCTGGGACCCCTGACTCCCCAGAGCTTCCTGACATGAATGAAGGTAAGGTAATTGACTGTACTTTGGAAAATGTAGCGGTATTTCTGTGTGTGCTTTGAGGTTAATGGCAACAAATATGCACAGTCATTAAAGTTACAGACATGGAGGCTCATCTGGTTCTTTAGTATTGGCAGAACATGTAATTCATCTTCTGGAGGGACAACTGCTTTTCAAGTTGGCTCTGCACAGAAAGGAAACGTAGTACAGAAAGGTACTGTGGCCACTGGAGAGACTCGTCGAACCATAGAATGGTTTGGGTTGGAAGGGACCTTAAAGATCATCCAGTTCCAGCCTCCCTGCCATGGGCAGGGACACCGTCTACTAGACCAGGTTGCTCAAATCATCATCCAGTCTTACCACAGAAGGAATAAAATGAAATGGCAGAGTAAAGAATATTGCTATTTTCTAACTGACATTCATTATTACCATAAATAAAGCCATCATCAAAGGTTTTAAGTGCAACACAGGTCATGAGTCCTGAATTAGCAAATTCTGGGGAGCAGAAAAAAAAAGTTAACAGCTTTGTAAACCTGTGCTTGATCTTTTTTGAATTTATAGTATCACTTTTTTGCTACCTTACTTTTTTTTTTCATAGCTAGAAGCCAGGGGAATATAAAATGGCCAACAGATGAAGGAACTGAGTGGGAATAATGTTTTACAGAACTTTTAGTATGTTAATATTGCTAATTTTGTAAACTTAGAGAAATCTTTTAATCAGATCAGCAGCATTGCCTCGTGAAAATGCTCTTGTCAATGGAGCTCTGTGTTGAAGGATTGTTCTGGCACTCTAATCATATTAATAAGCTGTAATGTTCCTGTTGCAGAAGTTTTAAAAAAAGTTTTCTTGCATTCTAATCCCGGGTACTGAGAAAAGGGGAGGAGGAAAAGGGCTGTTGCCAGGTACAATAATTCCTTCATGGACTTGGATTTCTGCTTGTTTCTGAGATCTTCTGTCCCATTTTGTTCTCTAAATAGAAATTGCAGGTTATCCAGTACAAGAGAAAATGAGGGTTATTCATTGTTAGTGAATTTCTTTTCATGCTAGTTAATAAGTGCTAATTTGGAAAATTAAAGGAAAGAACCATGGATACAGAATATTGCATTCTTGCAAATATTACTCTGCTCTCTATATCTAGGTGGTAATGGTGCCATCTAGAAGGCGAGTGGAAACAGTGAAGCTGTGAAGCCATGCTGGCCTTCCTCTGGTTTTCAAGGAATACTAATATTTTGTGGACTGTATAACTGTAAATATTTGAGATTCTCTTCTAAAATTGTAACAAATAATGTTATACAAACTTTCACTGATGTGTAAACTAATTTGCTTTAATTTGGTGTCCATGCTTTCACAAAACACCAAATATTTACTAGCTTTTCATATGCTTCCTCACAACTTTGGCTTTCAGTTGTGAATATCCCCACTTCTTCCCTGATTCTCCCAAAGGCTACATAAAGCAGGACTTTGGAAGTTTTCTCAAAGACAACTCATCCCAGTTTTTGAAAAGTCTTCCAGATATTCTTTCCAAAGTTAATAGTGTTTGTCAACAGCACATGGTAACACTGAGTTTGAAAAACTGATTGGAATTACGCTGCAAGCAGATACTACATAGAGCCAGTAGACAAAGGAACCACAAAGCCGTCTTTGAAAGAAAGGATGAACTCAGTTGAAAACACAAAGATACTGGGTGTAAATCAGGCAAAGATAGGTTGCCTGCAGTTGCTTACTAAAATTGCAGGACATGCTTAAATGAAACTCAAGGAGGTAGAATAATCAGGTAACTCCTTACTAGATGTAGTTTGCATTGTTTCTTTTAATTGTTAATCTAACCTGTGTTTTCCACTCCACAGGATGCTTGCCCCTTCATGTGAATAATGGTGTGTTGTGGTAATCTGTACATATTAAAATATTTGCTATAACACTGAACTAAACAGCTACTGTTTTTCCTTACTTTAGCATTAATGAAAAATGAAATGCTGTTACTCTATTGACTTGCTTAAAGCCTCTTTGACTTCAGTGAATGGCACTGTGGCAGTGCTGTTGTCCTAGATCTCTGTCAGCGCGTTGTGTTTCTGGTGGTGTGCTGGGTAACACTTTTCTTAGAGGCTTGTGGGATACAAAATCTCTTACACACCAACTCCTGCAATACTTAGCTTCAGGTTAGACATTTGAATCTGCATCTTTAAGTAAGTCAAGACCAACCTCTATAGTGGTAAAATACATGACAGTGGTATACCTGAACCTGGATACAGCCTGGGGTGACACCAGCAGAAGAGGACATAGATCTCCCTGTCAGAGATGAATGCAGTGATCTTGTCCAGCTGCCCTTGTGTCCTTCTTCACATCATAGTGCAAATATACTCAGACCCTGCTGCTCTGGCATTACTGATCCACTGGTCGTAGCTTAGGAGATACTGTGACATGCACAATGATAGATAAGCCCCATTTGCTGCAGTTATTTTGCACTTTTAAGATATTTGACGAATAAGAAAAGGGAAAGAGTTTATGGACAGCTGTGCTTAATAACTTACTTAAATTTCTGTTGCAAGAGCAATGTAGTCTTCCCCAGGGGAAGGGAAGAGAAAAAACTATGTACTTATGAACCTGTAAAATGGACTAAATTTAACTTCACAACATTTTAGGAACATTTTTATGCTTTGTCCCTTTTATTGTTAAAATAAAAAGTATGTGGTCTCAGCCTGGCAAATGTTCACTTGTATGCCTAAAATTGAAATCAGAAGTATTAAATTGGACTAACAACGTATATACGTTTACAGGTTTGGACCAGAGTTTTTTTCAGAGCTTTCTACTGTTTAGAGTTGAAAAGGAAGATGAACTTGGTTTAAACAAAGAGAAGGTGCTGTTTATTCCCCCTCCATCCCAGCACAGTCTGCGCACTATTGGAAAATTGAGTTTTTGTGTTCTAGAAGCTGTAACAGTGTTTCTACTAACACTGTGTAGATCCAATGCATGCTATGGCAGCTTCACAAGTGGAGTGTGAGTAACAAGAAAGTAGTACCTACTCTGTAAACAAGCTGTCTGCTTCTTAAGAAAAAAAGAATCTGACCTTCCCCCCTTAAAAAAAAATAGAAAAAATTAACTCTTAAGATTTGAAATCAGTTTCTTTAATATTTTTTTTTTCCGTAGAATTGTAGTGGAACTCTTCTAATTTCAAAATAGTTTTTTTAGCCTAATTTCCTAAAGAAATTAAGTCTAAGCAATCTGTTTTGTCTTTGTCTATCTCCTTGTCACCCTCTTCTTCCAGAACCTGTTGTTTCTTGATGTCAGCCAAAATAGATGAGCAACAAATCTTGAAGAGAAACGTGTTTCCACAATCTTTGTGAAAACTGTCTCTGAATCAGAGGTTCATTAGGGTACTAGAACTAGTGTTTGGGTCAGCCATGGACTGTGGTGTTTGCTGGCAGCTGGTGAATGACTGGGATCTCTGTGCTGATTGGCTGGTATTCAGCCCCTTGCATACCTCTGGGCTAACCATAGCTCATGCTGGTGATTGTCTAGGGGGCAGGCAAAATAGAATTAGGCTGGGAGTGCAGGAACGGGAGCTGAAGGTGTTGCAGGGGAAAGAACAAAAGGGAGGTTAGGGGTGTTGCAGTGGTGATGGTGGTGTGGGGGATTTGGGATTGGAAAACAGCAGAAACTGAAGTGACTGTGTGGAGGAGTAGGGGCACAGCGGAGCTGGTCTGGCTGAGAGAGGGGTATGTGATTCAAATACTGAGAAAATCAAACTCTGCTTCTTCCAGGGTTCACAGGATAGCTTGCTGATCACTGCGAATACACTGACCAGGCATTTAGCTTGAAAAGTGCCAAACCTGATGGTACCTAATAACCTGCAAGTATAAAGGATTAGCTTGTAATGCAGCAGCCCTCTTTCTTTTTCACTGAAATTTGGTTGGTTTTTTTTTGGTAGCCCTTCTGGATGTGTTCCTATTTTGTCCTAATATTTTAACCCCCTTGTATAAAAGTCTTTGTAAATAAGCAAGGAATCCCAGCTATACATTCTCAGCTTCTGTCCTGAGCTTGGGAATTGTTGCTTGTTTTCAGGTGTTTCCAAATAGCATACATTTTACCTGCCTAATCGTGATGGAGCAGTTAGATAGAGTTGATGGGATGTTAGCGCACTTAATAACCTCATCCAAAGAAAGTGTAGAGAAACTGCATATGCAGATTATTCTTGAGATTTATGAAATACTTGTGCAGAACTGGCATCAACTCTAATAGTGCAGATACTGCAGGAATTAACTTTATAGACTTGTCTTCAGTGTCTTAACAGTGTGTTCTTTGAGACTGATAAAGATTTAGTCTGTGAAACCCCGCTGGCAAGAGCCAGTCTGATGCCATTACCTGCCTTCATGAGTGGGATTTAAAAAATACCCTCCTCAGTCCCAGTCTCCCAGCTGCACTGTTCCTGTTTATGTTCTTTTATGGCTTTCTGATTTGTGTTATCTCCAGTTTTGTTTGTGTTTAGGCTGAAATATTTTCACATCAAAATTCCTTAACCTTATCCTGATCCGCTGTGTCTTTCAACTGCTAATTAGCACTGCAGGTGTTTGCATTAACAAACACTCTTTGTTGGCTAAACACAGTAAGCTACAGAATCATGTTACTCAACCCATTATTGTGACATGCCTACTAACAGCATCAGAGAATTTGGCCAGACTTTTTTTTCTGGAATGCTATTTGCATGAATTTGCTTAATTTTCCTGTTCTGGGATAAGGATGGTGCCTCTTAGCACCAGGCAAACTCAGCCTCATGTTCATCACTTGCAGAACTAAGCTTGATTTGCCTTTGACTTTTTTATTTTCTTTTTCAGTGCGGAGCAGGTTGAGGGAAATAGTGGGAGCATCTACCAACTGGAGGTACAGTGTGCATTAAATGTATTTTACTTTATTGGTGAAACCCAGGTAGAGCTCAGGGCTGTGGTGGTGGAAGTTAACACTTTAGCTTGCTGACTGGGAAAGAAAGGACATACAGCTAAAAAGTAAGGCAAGCAAGGTTTCTGAATTGTTGCTTTGTGGATCACAAGGTCTGTACCACCAAAGGAACAGAATAAGTGATATTGATGCTTAGAAGATTCTCCCATCAGCTTTGAATCCAATAAAGGTGTAAGAGCTGTAGAGTCTGGCTGGAAATGTTACACTGCTGTTGGTTGCTCTTGAGTTATTTGTTGGTGTCTTACCAGCATGGTGGTGGATTTATGCTGCACTGGATTCAGAGGCAGCTGAACTCACTCAGTGTGAAGCAGGCTGCATTATTAAGGGGCTGGCAGCATGTATGTCACTTTGGAAAACTGTCAGCTTGGGATTGGGGTCTCCTTAGTCAGGGGCATCTTGGGCATTTCTTTTCTCTGCTGTACTTTAATATAAATTTACCTATAATTTAAATAATTGATGATTTGGCTTTATTCAGGTTACTTTCCTCCCCCTCCATTACGTTGAATAAGCCAGAGTTGACTGTAATCCTCCACTGTTATCAATTCTTGAAATCAGTATAGCCTGAGGGAATTACATATTGTAGTTTGGTTGTTGCCATATTCATTGTATTGATTGTTAATTTTCTTAGGGCTGTGTTTGCTGAGTTCTTCTTTCACACTTTGTACACTGATAGGGAAGTGAAGAGGTGCTTGCCTGAGTGGAGTGTCTGATGTGTCTAGGCCTTCTGACTAGGTTTGTCTAGACAGATTATAGTCATACTAAAGAAAATGTCTGAATCTGAAAAGCTGATTTTTGCTTAGTGAGACTGCTACCTAAGCATGATAGGGCTTGAAATTTTCATTAAATCAGCTGAAAAGGGCACTTCAAAGAACCATTCTTGCACTCCACAATGGCTGGGAAGTAACCCCGCCATATGGAAATACCACCTGAGGATCAAGATTTTAGCGGCTCTGGAAAAATCTGATCTTCTATCTATTTCTTTTTCCCCACTGCTCCAACCCTGGGAGGAGAGTAGACTGAAGCCAGGATCACCACAGCAGTGCTTTTCTTAGATAGGTATGTCTCTTGTGGTGTATAAATTACAGCAGAAACAGTCTGCGGAGTACTGTATGTAACTACTATGAAGAAGTAAAGCTGGGGAGCCCATGGCTGGAAGGGCTTAAGAATGACAGGGTTAATATGGGAGGTCTGAAGGACATGGATCATGTTGCCTTTGAGATCATACTTTTAAAATGAAGTGACAAAGAGTTGATACGTGTGGAGACTGAACAGCCACTGCTTTAGTTAAGTCAGGCCGAAGAATGATTAAAGAGAACAAACTAAGAACAGCTTGTTAGGTAGGGGTCCCTAAATGTGAAGCAGGGAAGGACTGATGCACATACAACTGGATTACTGGGAGAGAGGAGAGATACGTGTTGGAGGAATGCCTTTGACTGTTATTTTTGCTAAAAGGAACCTTTGGTTCATGATTTCTCTTGTAACGGCCGGTAACGTTTTGTATCAGAAAGAAATATTTTGCATATGTATTTATTCTGGTTTTGTACTTAAATTGTAATAAATATTATTAATCTGTTCATTGCTAATTACAGTCTAGATACAGTTGTGGCCATTTCAGAAATAAGTAGCATAATTACTCAGAATGTTTATGGCAGGCATTAGTTAATATTTAGATGAACTATTGTTACTACATGACTGGTACTGCAGTGTGTAACAATATTTATCTGTTGAAAAATGTTATTGCCTTGAGACCAATACTTCTGTATACTGAAGAGCACATTCTGAAGCTGAAGTCAAGAAGAGTTCTGGTGCTGACCTCAGAGGAGCCAGGATGGGACTGGTGAAAACAAAACATAGTTAAATTTTTATTGTTTGGTCTCTATATGCTTGTACACAAGTTTCTGGTTTGCTCTCTGATCAAGATTTACTTTCTGGTATAATTTCTCTGAAACCTTTCACTGAAAGACCTTGGAAACAAATATTTTAAAAAGCATAAAGGTGCATCATCTTGGACATTGCATCTTTTCTTAGTCATCTGGTATATTCTGTTTCTATACAGTGGCATACCTTCAAACATTAACCCCCTAGAGGAGGTTATCTTTCTATTTTCTCTGAACTCTGCAGTACTTCTGTTGTTTAGATGTGGTAAACCATATTTCATATTTAAACCAGAAATTTTCTGCTGGCCTTTTACCCTATTTGATCATGGATTATTCATATTTCCTCCCAAATTCTTAAATGGGAAGAGGGAATATAAATATGTTGCAGCATGACTGCTTTATACTTCTCTTCCAAAAATAAAGCTCAAAGCAGAAAAGTGTTAATCTTAAATCGCTAATGCCCAGAATTTATCCAAAGTCAAAATTGAAGACATATTTAATTTTTGGTGAAAAGGTTCTTTCTGTTGTTTTCTTTATTTTTCTATTTTTTTAATTGGTTTTGTAAAACACAGTGGCACTCAGGTCTCAGCAATGCAGCATGCACAACTGAATGAATGGCACATTTCCACAAGTTTAAAATCAACTTTGGTTACATAGTGTTTTATGCCTTCTCTTGCTCTGTTAAACGGATTCATAGTTTTGCATACCTTTTGGCTTTATACTGGAACTGTTGCATGTTTAACCCTTAGGTACTTAATGCTTTGTTGTTGGTTCTAGGAATTGTATGAAATACTTGCTTTTTTTGGTCAGGTTGCACTTTTAAGGGGAGAAACATTTGGAGGAACAGGTAAGAGAAAATGTTGGGCAGGGTAATTGTAAGATGCCTGTGCAAGGAACCAACTGGGTAGATTGTAAAGAAGTGACAGCAAGTTGTCCTTTACCTCCTTTTGGGAGTTACAACCTCTATGACTTGGTGCTTGAAAAGCAGCTCTGAAGGGATAGTGCTCCTTTTCCTTTATTATTTATTTCTATAACCTTCCTATATGGTTGTAAGGTGACTGGGTAGGAATAGAGAGGGAAATAGATTAATTTCCCCTTTCTTTTAGCTTGCCGATCAAGTGTATGCTGTATGAACTGATGCTGTAAAGGGAGAGCTCACTTGTAGATGATAGCAAGTCTTAGCAGATTAGTTCCTTTTGTTGTTAGTGCTAACCAGCACTATACATGCTTTACTTCTTGGGAAAGATTAGAAGTTGACAGTCCTTCAAAAATTGTGGCTGTAGGAAGAGTTGTGATATAGTAGCTATGGAAGACATGAATATACACAAAACCTCATAGGTTAAATTATGCCCGATTGGTTCTTTTCAAGGGGAACCATTTTGGTGGCATTTGGAATTAGAGCATTTTTGTTAATCTCTTTAGCACAGAGTATGTGCCTGCCACTTGTGCACAATAATACTTGGAAGTTTTCTGCAGTAGTCCTGCTTAGCATATCTCATTAGGAGTATTTCACATTCTTTTCACGGCACACTCTCTGTGCCTTGCTATTTTTACTACTGTTTTGTTTTCATTTTGATAATCTTCAGTGTGACATCTTTTAGCCGTGGTTGCAGTTCTGTTCTCATGCTCCATTGTTCGTTTTTTTTTCCTTACAAGGGATCATGTGCAAGCAATGCAAGAAAGAAAAGCTCTTTATACTTTACTGGCAAAACAGCAGGAAGATCTCCCTCCTAGGAGGATGAAGGATAGCTACTTGGAAGTTATTCTACCTCTAGGAAGTCAACCTGAAATAAGAGAGAAGTACCTGAATGTACACAACAGCGTAAGGTAACAGAGGAACCAGCATAGTGTTAACTTTCATTTACTATGTATGTAAGTATTTAATTGTCACCCATATTTTGCAGGTTTGGAAGGATACTTGAAGATCTTGACAGTTTAGGAGGTACGTATCTATGCCCTTGTAAAGAATGCAGAAGTAATGCAGAGAAAGTGAGTTTGTTCACTGCTGTTTGGTGTGGTATAGTATGACCTTAGGGAAGGAATCACATCAATGTGTTTTCTCAAAGGAGAAGGAAAAAACTTGAAAGATACTGATGCTGAAGGAGAAGGAAGGATGACAAAGGACAGTAGCAAAATTGCTCAGCTTCACATTGCTCTGCCAGTTTTGTAAAGGAGCAGCTCAGGAATAATTTACTGAGAAATGATCCTAGATTATGAATCTACATTGAGTGTTAAATCAGAAAATTTGCAAAGTGTGCTATTTCAAATTAAACCAAATTTTGCTCTTAAAAAAGGCAATTCAAACCAACAAAACCAACGTAAAACCTAACAGATAGTGAGGTGCAACTATTTCAGTCTTCCTTTTGGGCAAAAGATACTATAATGTGGAAAGAGCAGACTGTATCCATTGAGGGAAAATGGAAAACAGTCTATAGGTTCTTGGATTCTGTCTCCAAATTGATGTTACGGGTAAAAGTGACTCAATTGTTTCATGAGTTAGGGTTGGGCTCCCCCCCCCCCCTCCTTTTCATTTATTCACGGTCTTTAAAAGTTCAAGTTCTTTGACTTTTGTTTTAAGCTAAAACAAGTGGCAGGTTAATGTAATTTGGTGATACCTTTCTCTTAAAATGTCACTAGGTGACTTCTTCCTTCATCAGAGTTCTCTAGCTGGTTGGGAGCATTTTGATTGAAGTTTTTGACAAAGAACAAGTGCTTATTAAGAGGAATTTCTGAATGGAACCGGGATTTTCTTTTTTGGCCAGGGGGGCAGCAATGAAAGACTGAATCAGATGGGCAAAACTGAGGAAGGCAGAAAAACAAGTGAATGTGTCACATACTTACTGAGGATAGACAAAACAAGTAAATGATTTGTATTTCTTTTCTGGGGCAAGGAAGATGCTGGCTTCAGTACCTGTCTTGAATTAGAAAAGGAAACTTGAAACAATTTGTACTACCCTCTATTGGTAGATGAGATGAGCCTGGTTTTCATTCTGTGCCTTGTTTATTTCTCCTGGAAATCTGTGAAGTTCTTAGTTTTTTTTTTTTGTGTTGGAGCACAGAATGTCTGCCTTGTTTGTAGTCATACTGGGCTTCAGTCAGTTCTGCTGGGGATATATTGTTTTAATGGTCACGAGTACTAGGAAAAAAACCAAACCATTTTGCAGCCTTGTATTACTCCAAGAAGTCTGTTTACATGGATATGCTCTTATGAGCAGAGCTAATTAATTTAAATAGTGGTTCAGCTAGTAGTAATTACAGTGTGATAAATACATCTGACTATGCTTTCATACCTGTAAGGCACAGTTTTATCTAATCTAAACCTCCTTAAAGGAATCCGTAGTTGAAAATAAGTCTTCAGACAGCATGTATCCTTGGACAACCTGCATGAAATCAAAATAAAAGGTAGGAAGGATCTGAGACTGTGGGCTGCAGGGGTAGAGGGAAAAGATTATGTGGGATTAGATGTGGAGCGATGAGTTGATTTAACGTGGTCAATTACATTTCTATTTATAGTAAGTAAATACGTGTATAAGTGAGACAGCTACTGAATCATTTTTCTTTATAGCAGTCCTGTGAGTTACACAAAATGTGGAAGTCATGTGCACTCTGAACCATACTTTAGTTTGTGTTATACAGGTATTTTTCATACTTCAGAAAGATGGCTTTGATCTGCTCCACTGAAGTTTTTGTTAAAGAGCTGACTCCATTTTTGGTCTCTCCACAGTTCTTATTTGCTATACTCACACCAAGCAGGAAATGCAGCCAAAGTCTCCTTTATCAATAGTTACAGCTCTGGTGGATAAAATCAGTAAGTGGCAATTTGGTCAGTAGGAATGGTTTCATTTTTCTTCCTCTTTCAGCAGCTGCTGCTGTCCCTGCGTTGTTACTGAGGATACCTTCTTCATGCTCCTGTTTAGTTCACTTCGTCTTGTTTTGTTGAAGGGAGAGGGAAGAGGGTTTTCAGCATTTCATATTTCACATTTCCCTTCAAAATACAAATTTCATGCACATCTGTGTTTGGTTTCATTTTGACACGAGCTTCTTAGGTTCATTATTGAATAGTTTTCGTTCTGGTGGACTTGGATCTTACTTGTGTCGCATGTTCTGCTGAGTGCTGCTGCGGGTTTGCCGTTTGTGTGCCTACTTTCTTCTGTTCTGGCTTCTGTTCCTTCTCCTGTTCTCCTGTTCTGAGAAGGTAGAAACTGTAGGGTGGCAGTGTGGTCCCTTGCAACAACTGTCTTTTCTGGGTTGACTTTGTGTGTGTTGCCACTTGCAGAACACAAAAAAGTCTTAGAAAATCCAGTCTTTCTAATGTTACATGTTAGTGATCCAGCAACCTCTAATGTTTGTGTTGTAGATTTGTGCAAGAGGATTATATATCCAGATCGTGACATCAAATTCACAGGCAATGTTTCTTGGGTTGGGAAGACCTCAATGGAAGTGAAGATGCACATGCTGCAGGTTAGTTCCTGTGGCTTCTCTCCATCTCATCACAGGGATGAAATGCTTTGGAGGAATTCTGGATGATATTAGCAATATAAATTACATTTTCTAGAATAACTATTTTTAAAGGGCTTGAGGCAGTCCTAGTGTTTCAAGAATAAGATAACTTCAAGTAGTCTAGATGCAGCAAGTTACTCTGTTGCTTACTTTTCTTTCAAGATGCATTTTTCTTAACCAGTGTTTTGTAATTAAACTGCAACACAGTACTCCTACAGAAAAATAAATGCGTCTGTGCTCTGCATGTTCTGAACTGATTTCCCCCCTGCTTTTGATGAACTTTATTTTTTTATTTGGTGTTCAGTTTCGGTATTAAATTGTATCTCTTGTGTTCATCTTATCTGCTGTGTAGCACAATTTTTGTAGTAAGTTGTTAAACACTAAAGAATAGAAACTAAATGAAGGTGTAACAAGGCTACACTGTGCAGGAAGCAAGAGGAATATTCATAATTAAATTAAAACATTTCTATTGAATATGTACTGTAAATTGATTAGTTAACTGAAATGTTAATTCAGTTATTTAATTATTTATGGTAGCAAAGATATGCTATGACCACTTAAGTTATGTTAGTGGCTATAATTCAGAGAAACTGATAAATAGTTTTTATTCAGTTGGTCTCCCTAAGTGGAGTCTTTGAAGTAGGCAATAACATTTTACCTTTATTGTCTGAACTCCTCACAGTGCTGGCATTAGTGGCAATTTGTTATTGACAGAAAATGTTCTGTCTTTTCTCAGAATAAAGGGTCCTTTTTACAATGCCTGCATTGATTTCCTCCCCACCCAGCTGAAAGTAGTAGTTAATACGTGTTCCCAGTGTAATATTTACATTGAAGTATTCCTGAAACTAGAGTTTTAATTTGTGTTATTTTATTCTTTTTGACCTGTTGTGAGAGATCTTGGATGGGATGACAGAATGGGAAAGTAAACAGCATTAACAGTGTGATGGCATAGTTGATGTCGACGGAATAGTTTGCTAAGCACATTTATGATTGTATTTCTAAAATATAATTGTTTCCTGTCTCTCTTAGCTACATGATGGTGATTACAGCCCTGTGTTAGATGCAACCTTTGTCATGGTGGCCCGGGATCCAGAGAATAAAGGGTAAGTTGTAGGAGAGGAAAATAGTTTTCAGATTCCTACTGTGGTGAAAATAGCAAACATGGCAGCTTGCTATGTGTGTGGCATATAGCCACATAGAAGGCATATAGCATAGGTGCACATAGTCGATGTTTTCTGCTGGTGTTACTTTCCTGTGGCAAGCTTCGGAGCACTGATTCAACAGTCAGGTGATACCAGGAATTGCTGTTAATCTTGGGATTGGACCCTTTTCTTAGTTTTTTTCTGCATTTGAATGACTGGCCAGATAAACACAGAAATGAACGAGTCTGTTAGAAACCCACCTGTGTTCTAAGAGTTGTTAGAATTAATTGTCATCTTGCCATAAAACTGGAAAAGATTGAGTTTTGATGGTTAAATAGTCTGAGTGAATAATGCCATTAATTCCCTAATAGATACGATTGGTTTCATCAGAATAATTCAGTCTAAAACTTACTTACGTAAGTAACATGGAACTAGTAAGTATTCACAGAACATAAAAAAAACCCAAACAACCCATAAGCCAAATTTCTTATTTTTTTGGTTTTACTCATTCTGTAACTCCTTAGTCATTAAACTAACAGGCTGCTTAGTTTCAGTTTTGGTTTGACTCTAGCACCAGAAAAATCGGTTGTATTTCTTACGTCTTTCTTGTGTAGCCTGTAAAAGTGATAAATGATTTTCTAAGTAGTTTTAATAACTGCCTGTATCTAATGAAGAGGGATATGTTTAATGAGGGGGGTTAGCTTGTCATAGTTATTTAGCCCTGATAATGTTAGAAGTACTTATTAGGTTGTTTTCATTCAGATTTGTAATATTTTCTTAGACCCTATTAACATACTGTACATTAAAATATCTATATATAATTATGGCTCTCATTTTAAGGACTTAGTTTGCAAAAGATTTACATCAAATCTGATGTAATTAGACACTAGCAGATTGACTTAGGACAAGCCTATATGAACTTGTGCAAATAGATACAAACTTCAGTTGCTGTTCTTCAAGCCAGCTGCGTTTTGAAAGCATTCTGTCCATATAAGGAAGATATTTATTCTGTGTAAAGTAAAAACCTTTCAGAGAGGCACAGGGTATGTTAGGTTAGTTGTAGTGCCATAAAAACATGGCTGTGTGGCTCTTGGGCTATAGCAAACTCTCCTCTGCAGCTTGGGTCTTGAACAGGACAGCTGCTGTAGATGTGTCCTGAGCTGAGGAGAGGGTGAATGAGCTCTATCATGGAGAAGGAGCTGGTGTCTCTGAAATCCAGAGGTTTAGCAAACCAGGAAAGAGCAGTTTGTTCTAAGCTAAAACATCCTTTCTGCATGCCTCTGTCACCATCCCAAGTAAAGGCTTGGAGTAGGGTTGAATTGTTCAGCAGATGTTTGTTTGTGTGTATGCATATATATATATATATAGTTCTGAGCATTTGTATTAATGTTGAAATAGAAAAATAATAATTAGAAATTATGGGGAAGAATGGCTCTTGAAAATAAGTGTTTGCCTTTCCTTGTGACAATAAATAATGTTATGTAATTAGGTCAGAATGAACTTAGTTGTGCAGAAAACTAAACACACAAATTTGTGCTCAAGGCAGCCTCATATCTTCTTTGATAAGTGGTATATGTGGTAAACAGCTTTCAGCTGTTGATAAGACTGTCATGGGAACATGTAGATTATAAGAACACTTGCTAGCTACAGCACCGTGCACTTTCTGTTCCATGAGGAGTGGTACCGTTCAAGTTTTATGTATTCGTTTTAGACTATCTTAGGTCATCACATCTTCATTTGATGAATTTTTAAACATCTTGAAAAAATCTTCATTTTAATCCTTATGTACAGATTTAGCTCTTTAAGAAGCATAGATGCATCACCCTTTCTTAATTATGCTATACAGTGGTTGGATCATTTAACGGCCTCTTGAGAGCTAAAGCTAATTTGATACTCTGCTGGCAGCTGCACAATATGAAATAATCTATTTATTTCTGTATCTCTTTTCATCTTGTACTGTGTATATAAGCAAAAATAGAAGACTGTTACAATGTTTTTAGAGGAGATATTATTGTAAAGTTTATAACTAAAACAAAAATTCTTGTCCATAGGCCAGCATTTGTTAATCCACTAGTTCCTGAGAGCCCTGAGGAAGAAAAAATCTTCAATCAAGGGGAATGTATGTCAGATTTCCTGGTAGTATGTGCATGTGCCTCAGGTTCAACTTAATAGCTAGAAGGAAATAAACTTCAGAAGTTGCTACATAGAAATGCTCCTTATTTGTTCAAAACCATGTTTTGTTCTGTCTCGTGTCAGTAGTGTAAGAGACGTTAAAAGCCTGCTATCACCATTCTTGGCAACTCTGGCTAAACTGACAAAGAAGGGCACTCCTTATGTGCTCTGCATCCCAAGCAGAGTTCTCAGTTTCCAGGATGCTCTCTCCACTTCAGATCTGAGTGTGGCACAGGCTTTCCTAATGCTCTGGTTGATTGATTGCCCCTGTGTTGGGCCTGCTGGGTGCATCCCAGCTTCCTGCCTGTTAAGTTCCTTGTTCTTTTTGGAAAGAAATTCAGAAAAAGAAAGGGGGGGACCCAGGGAAGGACTGTGTAGCTGCATCTTATTTTGTTTCAAGCTGGAATGTTAAAGCAGAGAATTAGAGAAACGTTAAAGACTGAATGAACTGAACAGAAGATCTAAAATTTCAACCCTTGTGGCCTATGGTAGTAAGGTCTGTCATAAATTTGCGTTCTTGTACCATTGGCAAAACCTGAAGAAGGTCAGTTGTTCTGTAAGGTTTCTTCTTTGATGTTTTTCTATACTTTGAGGGGAATATTGAAGTTTTCTGTAGGCGCCGTGGGTGGGTATCATGTATAAAAGGTCTTTATCACATTGGTGAGGAAACAGTGAAGTTCTACCTTATTTTTCTTTGATACAGTCAGTTCTAAAAGCCATATTTCTGTTTGGATCTATGGGACTGTGGAGTTACAGCTTTTAACTTCTGGGGGAAAAAGAGAAAATGAAAGGGACGGCTGATTCCAGGTTAAAATGTTCAGAGCAAGTCAAATGTTTTTTTTTCTTTGAACTGTAATATGATTTTTTTAAATGTTTAGTGAACAAACTGAAGAGGATTGATTTCAGCACTGCTTCCTTACTGAAAATGGCTCCCACTGCAGAAGAAAGAAACATTATTCATGACATATTCCTTAATACGTTGGACACAAGGCAAGAAGGGGAGGGGTGGAGGAGAACTGAAGTCTTACGGAAAAGTCATGTGCCTTTTAAGTGGATGCTTGTAAGAGGGTAGTCTGGAATAAAAGCACACATTTTGTTTTCCCATTTCACCATTTAAATTCTGTGGCATTTTATTTGAAACACAGGTACAAATTTTAATGTGACAGCTGCATCTCTTAAAAGAGTCTTCTGTTGTTAGTGTTAGCTGTGCCAAGATAATGAAAAGTGACGCTATAAGCACAAAGAGCTGCTGAGCCAGTTGTTAGGAATAATCTTGAGGAAAAGTGTTAGTGATGCTTAACCAAATAAGGGAATGGAATGGTTTTGCAGCTGTGTGACTGGCACAGTCTGAGAGTTTTGTGCCCTGATACCTAGAGAAAAACCTGTGAGGGTAGGAATTGGCCATATTTTGGTCAGGTAACCTTGCCACGTGTTTTAAATATAATACATGAAAGCAGTATTTGGGGGAGACTGTTGTTGATGTACTTCTCTTATATTTGAGCTTTGTGGGAAATCATCCAGTGCCAGTGGTGATAGAACAATGCCTAAGGGCATTAATGCAGTGGTGTATTTGTGGATAATTTGTTGTTTCTTTAACTTATTACACAGTTGTTACTTTCAAAGCTGTTTACCAAAGTGAGACATGCTTTCCCCTAAAATTAGCAGATGTATTTTGTACACATTCTGTCTGGATTTGAAAACCTCAAACTGTCTACATGTTTGATGTTTAATTACTGTTAGCTCATTGTGTGCTTTTAAATCCTGTTATGACTTAGAAAACAGTAAGACTTTCTCTGACAGGCTTTGTGATTGTGATTCATCTTTTCTTTCATGTACGTTTCTTGAGCTTGTTCATTCACATAAGCTTGAGCATTAACAGAATGTTTTGAAAGATCAGGAGCATAGGCTTATTGCAATAAAAATCAAAGTATCACTTTAGGTAAGGCTTCAAGGTCAGTTAGAACAGCTTTTAGTGAAGGAATTTATACTTTTTCGGGGGGAGTCCTTTTTTTTATTGTTTCATTGTTCTTTTTTTTCCTTTTCCTCAGTGTGTGTCTGCGTTTGCTATTTGTGCATTTTTCACTTGCTGAATTCTGCTAATGTGGACTATAAAATTTATTGTCTCTTCCAAAGGACAGTAAGTTTCCGGAGTCGTAAATTACCACCCAATTCAGTATGGATGGAAGATACAAAGCTAAAAGGGCTACAGATTTGCCATCCTCAGGTATTTTGAAAAATAAATTACAGAAGCAGTTACTTGTGAATTGTCTTGTAAGATTAATCAATCCATTATTTTGTTTCAGTTCTGCAGTCCTTGCAGTGTATTTAGATCTCAGTTTCTTTTGCCATTTTTCTATTACCTGTATTGGTTACCACTGCAAAGTAGATTTTTAATTACCTTGTTTTCTTACCAGACTATTTGTTTTATGTAAAGAGAGTGTGTTAAGGTTGGGCTTCTGGTTGCTGCACAATTCTGAGGTTTTATGTTGCCAATGAGTCAAATGATGTCAGAGTCAGCTTCTATTAAGTAACGTTGCCTCAGCCATTTTGACTTTTATTTTCAGTAGTGCTTTTTCTGTATTCAGATGTTGGGAGTTCTGTTAGATACTGTGAACTGAAGTGCAGACTTCAACATGATGCTTTGGAAATACTGTATGTAATATAGCAGTTTGGTTTTTTTGTTTCCACGTATAGGAACGAAACATCTTCAATAGGATCTTTGGAGGTTTTCTCATGAGAAAGGCGTTTGAACTGGGATGGGCAATTGCTTGCAGCTATGGGTGAGTTGTAGACTTGCAATATTTACATAATCCAGAGCACTGTGCACATACACATAGGTTGGGAAGCCAAACTAACCAACCTAATGACAATCTGAGTAGAAAAGAAGTAGGTGTGTAGTAGAATTTTGCACTATTAGTGCACAGCACTGCTTTATCTAGAGACTGTCTTGTATTTACAGAGCTTTGCATCTTGCTTCTTGTTAAGCATCACATGTCAAGCTAGAAAATACATCCTTTTTCTGTTTTCTTTTATCTTACCAAGCCACTGAGATTGACTTTTGAAGATACCTTTTCTTTCTGACCATATAAAATAGACATTTTGCCAAATAAGTATCCTATTGTCTTGTTTCATACAAAAGCAAAATCGCTTCTGAGCTTCTTCTAGTAGCTTGTTGTGCTTAGAAAGTGTGACTGAGGTCATCAGCCAGCAAAGGTTTATTCAGAAGTTTAATGGGAGTATGTCTAGCCTGATGCAAAGTGAAGTGCTTTATGTCAGTGCTTGGAAAACTGATGGCAGTGATGGCACGAAGATTGCCTAGCAAATGTAAGTTATAAGATAGAATAATGATGCAATAACATGTCATAGAATCATAGAATAGTTACGGTTGGAAAGGACCTTAAGATCATCAAGTTCCAACACCCCTGCCGTGTCCTTAGAGAATGTGTGCTTTTATTGGTGTGAGAGTTTGCCTCCAGTTACTTTTGTGGTGGGTGATAACATGATTCTATAGCACTTCCTGTGGCCTCTCTTTAGGAAAGATACATGCTGTAGTAAGCCTTCATTCAATTGCTGATAAGGAAATATTTTTAAATTTCTCCAAACATCCTCATTAGTCTTGAGAAAAAATTTATCTTTTTCTTGCTCAGGGGTTCCAGACCTTTTATTGTATCTGTTGATGACATCATGTTTCAGAGGCCAGTTGAGGTTGGATCCTTGTTACTGCTCTCTGGACAGGTAGGAGTCAATTTCTTTTTTAAAAGAGAAAAAAAACCTTATCTTTGCTGTAATTGCTGTTAATCACTGGTAATGAGCAGTGCAGTATGAGAGTGTGTGACTTTGATTGTTAGACAGTGTAATGAAGTCTGTTACAGTGTGTCAATGCCAATAATAAAGTAGGAACTACAACTCTTGTCTTAACTGTGCAGGTCTGTTACACAGAAAAAAACTACATCCAGGTTCGAGTACACACTGAGGTTTATGATGCAGACACCAGGGATCACCACACAACCAATATCTTCCATTTTACATTTATATCAGAAAATGAGGTCCCACGGGTTGTCCCCAAAACATACGGAGGCAAGTATGCAATTAATGCTTTGTTGTCATAACTCTGTAGAAAAGATGACTTTCTGTTGGAACACTGGTCATTCTAATAACTGAACTAATGGCATTTGAATAATTTAACAGGGTTTAATGGCAAACCAAGTTTATTTTATGCTTTCATGACCATGTGGATTGCTTCTTAATCTTACCAATTACGCAGTTGCGCAGTACTGACACTGGGGTACTAATGTGGTTCTCTTTTGTCTGCCTTATTTCAGAGTCCATGTTGTATTTAGATGGGAAGCGACACTTTGCTGCTGTAATGAAAGAAATCTGACAGGCACTGGATAAGCAGTATAGCACCATGCTGTCTTGGAAAGAGTTGTCACCAGAGATGGCTAACAGACAGGTGCTTGCAGTACCCCCCAAAAATGAAACCAAATCCACTCCAAACCAAAACCCACAAACCTGAACCCCACAACAGAAAACACCTTTTAAATGCTATTTATGTATTTGCATATATTTGGATTTTTTATTCTTTGCTACTAGGGTTTGTTAAAACATACTTTTACATGCTAATGCTAGGAAAAAAGGCTGAAAAAAATACAGTACTAAGCTTCAGGTATCTTCTTTTTGTCTGCTTTGAGTAATTGCATTATGACCTTTGCTGTCTTGTCACCATCTGCCTTCTTTCTCTTAGTAGCTCTCCTTTGTGCTTCCCTGATAAGGGGTAGAAGTTTTATCAGAAAAAGGTGTTCAATAAGTAGATACACACAGATAAAGCCATTTGACCTACATTCTTGTGTAAATTAGGTTTATTTTTTGCATCGGGCAGCAAGCATAGGCTCAGAAGTTCCTAGTGTGTGCACAGTGTAAAGCAGGTGCTTTCCATCAGCTGGGATTTTACAAGGCTGTACAGCTCCTGTTTTGGATGTTTTCATGGTTCCCTTGGGAGAAAACCGGATTTTGTGATGGAATGAGGTGACCATATGGCCTCTTTGGCATTCTGTCTGGGTACAGCTAGCCCTTGCCAGCCTCTTCTAACTTTTTTTTGTTGTATGTAACTGAAAGTTCCTTATGAGTTATTTCTCATGGTCTGTAGAGATGTGCTTGGTGAGGTTGGGTGGGACTGGGAAACAGCATTGTAGGGTAGAATGTTTTGGTTTGTTAGGGATTGGGAGCAGAAAAAGTAAAATGCTGCTCAAATGGCAGTGGTTATGTTTATTGCTGGCATTAGGGATCTGGCAAATCTGTGCTGAGCAGCTCCCAAGTCAGCTGCTGAATGGAGAGAGGATTTTTATCCCACTGAGGATGCAGCTAGAGGACAGCCCACTTGGCTGGATTATTTGTCTGGTTCCTTGGTAGACTGTAATGAAATATGAATATTGCACAGCTTTAAAAATTGTCAAGTTTATCTGTGAAGGACAGAGTAATTCTCCGTCACAGAAGGGACACCATGGGGACATAACTGTGGTATCTAAGTAACAGGGAGAAAGTACTTGGCACCGAAGTGTTTCTGATGTGATGGCAGAAGTTTAAATAATCTCCAATATCAGGAGTAGCTAGGCTCAATGATAGGTTAAACGGATGAAATATGACATCTTACAATACACAAGAGCAGACTCTGGCTTCCCTGCTAGGTTTAAAGTCTTTTGAAATCAGGAAGCAGTATGTAGAAGTTACGTGAATCAGCACAGGTGCACAAAACAGGTTGGTAAAATAAAGCAACATGTTGAAATACTTTTAGTTAGAAAGTTTGAGAAATTCACAGTTAAGATGAGCTTCCTTTGGAGCTAGGATAGCATGAAGGTCATGGCTCCTAACAGCTGATTGGTACTCCCACGAGGAGGGTGAGTATTGAAAAAAACAGTGTGTTATGCATCAGCCTTTCCTAATAGTTGGCTGCCTTCAGAAGTTAGTTATCTTTCCAGGGGAGGCACAGGGGCGTTGCCGAATCTGTATCGGATGCAGTGAAGTGATAGCAAGCTCTTGGTTCCTTGCATGGAGTTTCTCTCTTCAGACACACTCCAGTGCTGATCCAGCTGTATGCTGTTACAGTCTTTTTATTACAGTTATAACACTATGGATACATACTGTATTTTCTATTTTTCTCCTTTAAAAAAAAACTCTTGAAGCTGAATATGCTTAACTGACCACACAAATAAAGAACTGAGGCACTGAACTGAAACTCTGGAAGGCAGGAAGTGGAGGGATCTATGTCAGACTGTCAGAAGGATTACATCAACCCAGTGGTCCTACCTGGGTCACTTTTGTATAACTCTTGTAAGTGAAGGGGGTACCAAGTTCTTCCTCTAATGCCTCTTCAGCTGTATATATCGTAATTTGTCAATTCAGCTTTGGGAAGGGATGAAAGAGGCAAAATGAGTAGGGAGCAAGAGCAGGAAGAAAATGAGTCCCACAGGTGAAGATGCTTAGAAAAATTAGTGTGTTTTTCAGAGTTCATCATAACTTAAATGTGTACCAATATCACAGTACATAATGTATGTACAGTCACACAGAATGTGTGTGTGTATATATATACATATGTAAAAGATATACAAACATATACAAGAATAAAGAGAAAGACAAAGAGTATGTGCTCACATATTTTTTACTCCAGGAAGGTAACTCCCAAGTTTTTACCCTCTCTGATAAGAGGCTAAATGTGTCTTTGTTCAAGGGTGTTATTTATGCATGTCGCTCTGTACCTTTGTGTGTGGGAGAAATTTGTTCTTGGAGCTCACATTCAAATTTAAAATGCTTAACATAATGGTGAACTTACGTTGCAACTTAATGGCCACCCCATCACTGCTGTCAGTGACTAGCCATTAGCATGGCTTGTGCCTAAAGGTATTGGTAGAAAGTCTTCTTACTTGTAGTGAACCTTTCTATGTAATCGGCTGTGGCTCTGCAGTGGGAAGTAAATGCTTCTGTGCCTGTCACATCCTAGAATACAGTGAAGAGGAGGAAGAAGTGTGTGCTAGCTGGAGTGCCTCCCCATACCTTCTCACTTAGTGGTGATACAAAAGATTTCTGTGGGACTGGCTGAGCACAGTGCCTGAAAAAGCACTTTGTTTCAAATGGTTTTGTTGTTTCTGTGCTTAAGAAAATAATAAAATGACTTTCTCAGAATTAGTGTAACAGTTTCTGGTAGCCCTTCTTCAAATGCGCACGGATCCTTTGCAGCCCCGTTGCAGTGCACGGTGTTCTGGGAAGAAGCTTGCTGGAGCCGGTGCAGTATGGGCCACTGAGCAAGGGTTTCAGTTTAGAAACCTGCGCCAAACTTCCTGAATGTTTAATTGGTTGTACTGCACATTCAGTTCAGCCTTTGCCTGGTGGGCACAGTAATGACTCCTCTAAGTGCAGTTTTACCTAGCTGTGGGAGAGAATATCTCTTAGTGGGCTAGGCACTAGCTCACGGGAATATAAGAAGGCAAATATTCAGCTTTCATAAAAGAGAAACCAGGGACTCCTTTTGTGGAAGCTGTAATTGGGTGATGATACCTGCATAGAAAATACACTGGAGCACTTTGCAAGAATTAGTGATGTGTGTGGAAGAGGAGTGGGTCTTGCGCTGCTACAGTGCAGTAGCTTTTGTAGGTAACAGTAAACAAAATCATTAGGTTGCATCTCTGGAAATACTAATGATCCCGAACCCACAGACTTCAGGGTTCTTCTTCCCCCTGATTTTAAATGTTACTCTTTCATTGAGGAATCTTTTCTTCACTTCTTTTGCTTCCTTCATTTTCCTGGAGGCAGTGTGTAACTAAGGATCTGCCTTTGTTTCTACCTTGTTTCCCTGGCCAACTCTCACCTTTCCCATCTCAAACGTTTTTTTCCTCATTCTTTTTTCTCTCCTAAACTTCTCCATCAGCATGTCCAGATCTCTGTAAAACCCTATTCTCTTTTTCTATATACATAATCTTCCATTTCAAAGTATGTCATGTGGTGACTCTCAAGTCTTTGCTTAAGGACTATTTCTCTAAAACTTTTCATCCCCATTAAACTGCTTTTAAAAAACAACCCCATTTCCTTCATCCATTAGCTAATCATTCCTTTGCCACGTGTTTAGAGGGCTGGGGCCTTCAAATTTGACATAGCTACACTGCTGTGGACCTAACTGCAATGTTCAGAGTGTACAGAGGGCCTTGGTTTTCTTCAGTGGCTAAGTGTTCTCAGTCCTGTTTTATTTCCTCAGCTCAGGGCACAAGCACCATTTCTAGGGCAGGCACGAGTGTTAGGTTTGTTTTTTGCCTTGGGCTGCTTATGAATAGCCATGTAACAGCATGTCCTGCATTCGTCACGCTGCAGTTGCTTGGAGATTTGAACGTTCTCTGTGTTGATGTTTTTTGGTGTTTCAGGATTTGTAAAAGCTGTAAACAAAATCCTGAGTAAAATTCAAGCAGCTGATTTACAGCTTGGTAACATGAGAAACTGGCTTTCTACTTGCTCCTCTCTTGAGATCACAGGGGCTTGGTAGCACAGTACCAGCCTTGGGTGTTTGGCGCTGGTCCTGCTGTGCTTCCCTTACCCTCTGTACGAGACAGGAACTTCTCCTCTCCCCTTGCAGGGATGGATGGGGAGGCTCAGGCTCAGTGGAGTTCTGCTTACCCTGGACTTCACACAGGTTAGATTCCTGTTTAAGCAACAAGGCCTTCAGTAGTCTACTGCAGTTACATATTAGTCAAACTCAGGAAAGTAACAAAATTAATGAAATTTTATTGGCAAAATCAAACGGAATGTGACCTATATCATTCGACAGGAGCGAGCCTCAGTTTAGTTTATCAAAATACTTCAGTTTTCCAGCTGGATCTGGAATTATCTGTGTAAAAAAGAAAGTGAAAATGTTAGTCAAAACCCAAAACCATGCAAACACAACACACCATAAAACCAGAACAGCATCATATGTCATAACATGATGATATGGCCAATCCACAAGCAACACTGGAGGGTAATTTATCAGCTGACTTGATGCTAGATTACTCTTTACTTCTGAAGATACTTCAAAGCAGAAAGACTTAACTGACTTGGGTAAGAGAGAGTGCAGCTTACCAAAGGAAGAATTCTGGCAGGTGGGAGCACATACGTGTATGTTCCTTGCCCCCAAAGCAAGATTTTAATCAATTAACGTCCGTAATCAAGAGTGTTAGGATCTACTTACAGTTCTTCCCTTGGCCACCACACTCTCATGGCTTCCTCTGGTTTGATCTGATTAAATCAAACACATTTAGAAGGCATGGCTACATTTTTGAGACAGGCTTTTTGAACTACTTTGCTACTTAGATTATCTGCGTCTTTTGCACAGAGGAGAAGGAGAACACTTATGTATTGTTCTGGGTTTTTAAACTGATAGTACTAAAGCTGTTCATCTCAGCATTCTTAGGCTGTTTTTAAAAAAGTATGTTAATATTGTATAATCTAGGTGATCCATGGTTATGGAGGGCATAACTTCCCAGTACCAAAATATGTTTGTTATGCCAGCCAACCCTCTTTCATTTTATAGTCTTAATATCCAGTTTTTCTCACTGTGCTCCTCCGCTAGCTTGAAAGAGGTGATTCCTGGCCTTCAGTTATCCCAGGAAGCCCTCCAGCAAAGACACACAGTTTTTAGCATTCCAGTG